TATGTGAGAAAGCTTGCCACTAGCTTCTCAGGGGTTGGTGATTCTTTCTGGTGATTTCCAAGTTTCTTCCTCCACCATTAATATTGGCCGCCATGTATAGCCTCTCATGTGCTGAAAAATGGCATGAAGCCCAACAACAACAACTTCTTTAATTTCATCCATCCATCACATCTAAAGAATGCATGAATGGGGTCCATTATTTTTTGTAAGCCTTTGGCTTAACATGTATAAATTAGTGTTAGAAAGACAGCAAAAAGCTGCAATTAATCAACTTCTGTCACTGTGTATGTAAAGCCACTTGTTTAAAATTTCTTTTATAAATTTATATTCTGTAAATAATTTATTTATTTATTATTATTATTATTATTATTATTATTATTATTATTATTATTATTATTATTATTATTATTATTATTATTATTATTATTATTATTATTATTATTATTTTAACTAAATATATTGGATTGTGTCAATTCTGCCATTTTAAAAATTCCCAACAGGGACGATATCATCTCCACATGTCACATGTTAATACTGAATGATGTGAATGGCTTTTAATGTTGTATATCATTTCCCAAAAATCGTATGACTGCTTTCAACCATATATTACAAAGGTACTTGTATCCACTTGAAAGTACAGAGTAACAATCCACTAATCACATTCTCTAAGATTCAGTTCTATTGAGATAATGTAAAAGTGTGTGCATTAGACAAAGTCTTTCCTCTTTATTAAGAGAGATTTTAAGAGTAGCTCTTTCCTTGCCAGCAGCATTTGAGTAAAGTTAAAAAAAAATTGAATACTTGATACATGCATATTATAAATGTTCCTATCAATCAATATTTTTGCCCAGGCTGATGTTGAAGAGTACTAAAATAGCCACAGTTTCAATGACTATGTTAAACTCTACAGTCAGCAGAAGAAAGAAATTCAAACTCAACCACATGTCTGTGGCACATTGCAAGCAAAAATAGACTTGCTTTAAGTAGATAATAATAACAATACTTCCAATTAACCTTGAAATTAAGGGAACAGTCCAGACCTAATTATTGTAGAGTTTTCATCCACATGGACATTATACAAAACTATTAGTTACCAAGTGTTAGAAGATAACTGTTACAACTGCTTCTTCAGACACATAATAAGAACTGTTCCCCCACCTTCAAGAGAACTCCAAATGTAAGGTAATACTGCATCACCCAACCTACCCCTTTCATTTGCAGTCAAGATTGAAAGCTTCTGCATGAAGTCTTGTATGTTGGAAGTTTGTCTCTGTACATCCACTCCTATTAGCGGCAAATTCTTGTTCGGAGGGCATATCTCACCAGAATGTGAGAAGATAAATAGACCCTTGTGTCAAGGGGAGCCTTGCAGGAATGAACACTATAAACTACTGTGAAAGGAAATCCAGACTGTGATGGCCAGTATGGGATTGCCATATGAACTTTTGGATACTGTACTAATTGTATAAAAAATGGGAACCAGCCTAGAAATGGGTGAACATAAAATAGAATATAAATAGTTTTGGCTGTTCTGGATTGGTTGATAATGAAAGTTATTTTGTAGGAAAAAGGATCTTTTGAGAGTTTATCTCAGTTGTAACTGAAAAAATATAGACATTGTTTTATTGATGGAATTTCAACCTCTTAATAGTAATTAGTTTGGAAAACTCGTTACTGAAATTAGCACCTGACTCTTTGGTGTGGAATTGAATGCACATGTTAAAAACACAAGTTATCTAGCACATATCCTTTTCTCTACACAGAAGCTGTCATCCAGGTTTCATCTGAACTGATAAATATAGGTCTGATTACCAGCACTCAGAAATATAAAGTTATTTAATTTTTAATATCATGGTGTTTACATAAGTTTACTGTGGGAACTAAATCAGTACCCATAATCCTTAAACAGATTTGGTATTCCTGACCTTATTCATAATTTTCCCTATGAAGTGAAGAGTTGGAATTTGCTTGACCAAAACTTTCAGTCACTGGAAAAGCACAACAATATAAATGCTTCAGGTTCTGGTGGATTCTAAAAAGCAAATTTATCAATTTAAAAATTTAGAAGCAAACTTTGTCTACTTAATGCCCACTTTGTAGATTTTTTTAAAAACAATTCCTAGAATAAAAATAAGGACAGTATCATCTATTCATGGGAAATGGGTGGCTGAATTGTTAACATTTCTTTCAAGGCAGTTACCAAATAGATTTAAGAATAGCATTCATTTCCATGAACCAAGTGACATAAATAATTTAGGACAATGCAAAGGTTATTGGCATATTGAAGTATCAATATGTTTAGTCTTGACCAGTAAACCAGATGATTATGTGGAATGATTTTGGCAGTGGTGGTGTAGGTTTTACACCTTTTTTCATACATACATAGTGTCCAGAGTGTCTGATGGAGGATGAAAACTTCAAGGTATGAAAGCAGGAAATTCTATATAATTAGTGTTTGATGATTGGATTCTTTAACTGGCCACAAATAGGATTAATTGAAGCTGCTGATAAAACACGATACTCATCTTTTGATGCATCTGGCATAACAGAATCGACTGTTAGGTGTCTAAGATTTTTAACACTGCACCTTTTATATTTGGGTCTACATTTTGGTGGTGCCTTACTGTGTTAAGTTTAAAATGTGATTCAAAATCCTAGTACTGTTTAAGACAAAGACTTTTCATCAAAATCATATCATTCACAGAACCACCCAGAAATGCAACCTGGTAGAAAAAAATGTCTCGATGGAGATCTAATTGATAATATATCTATATACACATAATATTATCTTTTTTCCAACTCTTTCATTAATATTATCCTTTAGCCTAGTGGTTAGAGCATCTGCCTCAGATGCGGAAAGTCATGGGTTTGATCTTCCGGTCGAGTCATACCAAAGACTTACAAAATGGTACTAACAGCTGCCTCGCTTGACACTCAGTATTAAGAGGTTATTGTTAGGACTGGTTGGCTTGGTGTCAGGATAATGTGACTGGGTGGGATATCATGCTACATGTCTTCGGCATGATGCCTCAGTTCTAGACATCACTATAAACTGACACACTGTAGACATCATAACAAGATAACTGAAAAATTGTTAAAGCTACGTTAAAAATCTTAATCACACACACACACACACACACATTAATAAGGAACAGTTTTGAATTGTCTAAATCAGTGAGAAATCCAAAGCTTAAATACTTTAAATAGGATCAAGTATACCCTCTTGTTTTTATACATAAAATTCAGATAAATCTGTATCCAGTCTACAACTTTTATATTTTTCAGCATAAAATGGTGCATATGTTGTATGAACTATAAATATGGTGGTTTCAAATTATTGTAATGACTCTGTGTACAGGAGAAACCAGTATTACAAATTTCTGTAGTACATTTGGCGCAACACTAATCTGAAACCTTGAGTTTACATGCAATTATAGGAGTTCTTCTGTCTTTCCTACTTCATAAGACAGCAGATTTCATTCTTGTAAATGATGTTAAAGTTTAGTTTTAAAATTAAATTTTTTAAAGTTATATATCTTCAGAATCAGTTACCATATTCAACTTAATAGATCTGACATTTACAAACTAATAATCTGAGAGTAATCATTTTGCCAGTTTTGCTTACATAAACATCATGGTCAACAATATTAATTCAAGTTTTGTGAGTCAGTTTCTTTGAACACTTTTTAGTTTTTAAGTATTTTCATTACAATTTTTAATGAAAAGTGTGAGTGTAAAGGTTTGGTTTTATGTTTCCTCTGTTATGTCAGAATTTTGAAACTTTCCTTGTAATCTTGACAACATAATTTTGATCATTTTCAGAGGATGCAGATCTTTTTATATGAGCCTTAAATCTTTGAGTGTATAGTCACATACTTTTATCTGTTGACCCAGTTTTAGTAAGTACTAGATCATTTTATCAAAAGTAGGTTACTGGCATAAGTTTTGTGCACCCTAGACTGAGCTGTGAGGGTCAATTTCCCAAGCACAATTTATTGGTTGGTGACATCTTTGTGGTATGTATGGCACCATCATTCCAGACGTAGCTCACTGTGACCTGAATTTAATCCTTTTTTTGTTCAGAATCAGTGTGTTGTATGCTGCTGCAGAGCTCAAAGAAAACAATTTTGCCAAGAAATCCTACCTGGAACAATTGAATTGCAACACATACCTGTTGTTTTATTAAACTCATTATACTTGTCCAATTCATTGTTTAATTTCTTACTAAAAAATACACTGTATCAGTTTGTGCTAAAATGGACCAAAATCATGACAGTGTTATGTATATCATTGTTTGCATAAAAATTAATTTTCGTTTTAATAGATTCTTAAAAACCAGAGCACAGATCTTTCACTTAAATTATCTTGAAGTCATAAATCTTACATAGTAAAATTGCAAAGCCATCAAACTTGAATACAAATGAAGGAGCTGTCATTGTTTCACAGAAAAGTAAATTGACAGGGGCAATTTACATTTGAAAAATGAGATTTTAAATTGCTGAAAATTGATTTCTAAATTTGGACTTATTGCTAATAAATCTTAGGAAACCAGGAAAAAAAGGAAATATTCACTAATATGTCTAAATCTTATTAATTCAGTCCAAAACCTGGTAAGTTAACTGATGCCCATTGTTCATTTTTGTGTGAATACAGATTTAATTTAAATACTTTATAGAAAATTAGATTGGTAGGGAGTATTTAAATTGATAGCAAAATATATAAATGGCTGAAAATAGTTTTTGAAACATTGGCTTAGCTACCCAATTTATAAATATGGGCATGCTACCTAATTTCTGAACTTGAGCTTGCTGCTTAATTTCTGAAGTTGGGTTTGCTGCCATATTTCTTACCTTTCATTTGAATCTGTATTTGTATACTTGGGCCTGCCACCTAATTCTGAATCTGGGCTTTTGGCATATGTGAACTTGGACTTGTCACCATATTTATGAATTTGGATTTGTCACCATATTTGTAAACTTGGACTTTCTTGTTTTGAACATAACCGTCCAGTGGCCTAGTGATTAAAGTGTATGCCTCAGATGTGGGAGGTCACGGGTTCGAACCCCGGCTGAGTCATACCAAAGACTTTAAAAATGGTACTAACAGCTGCCTCTATAGGCACTCAGGATTAGGTGGTTGGTGTTAGGACTGGTAGGCCTGGTGTCAGGATCACGTGACTGGGTGGGACATCATACTACATGTCTGCGGCATGATGCCCCAGTGCTAACAATCACTATTAACTGTAATACTACAGACATTGCAGCAATATAATGGAATAAATTTAAAGCTACATTAAAAACTCCAATTCACACACACACACACACACACACACACACACACACACACACACACACACACACACACACACACACACACACACACACACAGAGTTCTGAACATAGCTTTGCTGTATTTCTGAACTTAGTCTTTGTGGTAAATTCCTCCTCAACTTATTTGTGGTGGGTTTACTGGTTTTGGTTTCGTATCTAGGAGTAACTGCCTACGATGTAATTTGCCCAGTATCGAATAAAGCTAATACAATTATGAATTTATGGATGGAATAAATATGTAATCTGACCTTATATATAGAACAAACTAGTCGAGCTACCATTAAAAATAAAGACAAAATTTTATAAAATTTAAAAACAATAACAAATTCCACAAGCATATGATATGAAAGTTACAGTTTGAAAGATACACTTCTTTCATTACATATTAACTAAAACAAAGCAGAATAAAATTATAAAATTAGCCGATTCTGTTTACAATAGAATCAAACTCATCATTTATGAGTCCAATATATTAATATATCGAATAACTGCCTTGCATCAATTCATAACCTGGTGTCTGATTCCGTTCCACAGGTCCTCTTAGACTGTACTTTCGGTTCCTTTGCATCAGTAAGTCTTCCACTCCACTTTTCTTTCATTCCAAAAGTTAGGTGTGTCTCTTTTTTGTTCTACACTGCCCATTTTTCTTTTCCACACAGTTTGGGTTGTAAATGTGTCTCTTTCAGACTATCTCACCTTATAAAAATATAAACAAGCAACCTAAATTTTCTGTCACCTTATAGGAATGCATCATTAGTCTGATCCCTCCAGGTCAGAGGTTAACTCTGTCAATTCAAACAGTCTATATGGACCTCAGAACTTATCAGAACAAGTATATAAATTCCTGCAAATACAAGCACCTACATGCAAATAAATCATATCATAAACAGGTATATGAGATGTTTGCAATTGCCTCATTTTTTCAAGCTTTTGGTGTCTGTCAGAGCCATCAAACATCTCTCTCTTGGATAACAATTTGTTTGATGAGAACTTTACTCATTCAAATACCCAGAGTCTCCAGGTCTTATCCTTCCCTCTCACAGAGAAATGTAGACTAAATTTTAAAATCCCTCCTGTACATTTAAACTTTAAAGTTTTCACGTGAAACCATGCCCTTTTCACAGTATGACCAATCAGAATTATAGTAATTCCTGCTTTTCCAGCACTGAAACACTGCATTATTTCTATCAACATATGGCTACAACTGGACTTTCTCTGGCTGTCAGTTTCCATGCAGAACCAAACTAGAACCCTGTTTGGTAAGTTTAAACAAGCTAAGCCATTAATTATAAACTAATAATTCCTTGGCTTGCCTGAACCAATCCGTACTTTATGGCTATTTCCCATAAATCTTGTTAATATATTCAACTAAATTTGTTCTACCATAATTAACTCTAATAAAGATCGGCCTAAAAATTTTTCCTTTACAGTCTTGCTACTATGTTTCTCCTATATCGACAATTAAATCCACCTTTTGCAACTGTGAGAAACCTATTGTAGCAGATTTATGTGGGTGAGGGAGGAATGAATCTTCCAAAACAAGATCATTCATACTTCTGGCCCCTAGATGATAAAAACAAATTTACAATCATTCTTCATGGCTGCTACCAAAGTTTTATTCCATTCATATGGTTCCAGCAGAATGAAAAGATCATTGATGGAAAGAATTATAATGAAAATTTACATGTATTATTCAGGGCTTTAAATGGTTGTTAACGAAAAACAAATGAACAGATAATTTCAAATTTGAATGAGTGGGTGGAGAAAGTTTGCTGTGGGGGTCCAAGGAAAATGTAAAATCATAAATGCAAAATTAAGGCAATTTCAGGTTTTTCCAGGGCATTGTTGTTTTAAAATGTATCCTTTTAAGTTGAAAAACCTGGTTACAGACAGCAATACTGGTGGTGAAATTTGACAAATGCTTTCTCATGGGAAGGACCCATGTTTTTATAATGGTCAGATTATGATGGTTTATATTTGAACTTATCTTCTGATATCTATACCAAACAACCTGATATAAATTATTATTATAAATTACAATATTATATTTACAGATAATTGTATTTAAATGTGTGACCATGTAAAAAGTTGGTATGGGTATTACTGCCTGTGATATGAATTGGGGGGGGATATATCACTTGTACAATAAAGAATTAGCTAACATAAAGATAATTTAGTACTGTATAGGGAATTTGCAATGGGTTATGAAATTCATTTCCATCTTTATTTCCTCATTTTGGAGATTATCATAACATAGAGAATTGGTACAGACATGAGAATAACAAGGACAAGAGGAACAATCATATATATGTCACAAACTCATGCATGTAATCATATAATCACACAATGTTGTGAAATGGGGAGTGGAAATTTAAGTAACTGAAACAATTTCTCAGACTTCATCTGTAGTTACTATTATTGTTGATAGATCAAGAAAAAAAAAGAAAATCAATTAGTAAAGTTTTTGAAAGAATTATGAAAAATACTGTGCACTAAAATGATTAAAATGCTGCTATAATGTGCCTTCATAAAGCATAGTTCTTCATGTACTGAAGTGCCCACAAACCAGACTTCCTTTTACTCACATTGCATACCAATGTTTTTATTAGCCTGATAATTCTCCTCCCCAGCTCCATAAATGTCATGAATTGATGATAACCCTACCATTCTTTTGTTTTAGTGCCTTTCATCATCAATGAATAATTGATGTGTAGCATTGCAACTAGTGTTGGCCTGCCCATTTCAATTAGTGTTAATATATTCAGTTTAAGCAGAAGTTGGCTTTCCTATAGATTGATTATTCAGTGAATGTGGCCTAAGTAGTGTCTTTGCCTGTTTGAAGGGTGAGCAGAGTAAAGCCAATTCTGCCATTACATAAACTTTTTTCCAGTAGATCAAGTTCTGTGCTGTTCAGATTTCTTGTTAGATTTCAAAATATCAGAATAGGCCATGCACATGGAGTGTTCAGGCTGTTATGTATATTTAATTTGCATTGTTTGTTAGTCTGATTTTTGTTCATTATGTGCTATGGCTAATTGTAGTTTGGACTTACCTGACCTGAATGGTTCATTTTAGTTTTGTAAACATGATTATGTCAATCAGAACATTGGAAATTCCCCATGAAATCTGGGTCTACATGTTGTTTAGCACATATATTATTTTTTTAGTTGCAGACCTTCTAATTATAACCAAGGTTTTATCTTGCAAACATTTGTATCCTTCAAGAATGAAATTTTCTATTAGGTAATAGGTTATTTTTTAAGAAAATGCTAATTGTGACCTGAGGTCAAGTAGAGGACTTATATCTTGTCTATTTGGAAATTATTTGTGCTGTAATATAAACTGTATTTGTTCTATTATTTTTGTATCCATCATTTAATTTAAGCTGGAACTTATTTATTCAAATTATTTAGTTCAAGTTATCTTTTCTCTGGGTATATACCCAGTGCTCAGAAATAACATTTTTGGAAATAGAGACATGGATTTATTGTGAAATTCAGATAAGGATATATTCATGGATTGTATTATTGTGATTTATCAAAAGACGGTTGGCACATCATCACGACACAGGCCATCACAGGCACATTTACACTTCCAGCATTGGATTTATTTTGGAATATCTGTTTATTCAGAATTTTAATCAATAGGAGTTGGATTATTAGAATTATTTGGAATTTAATTCACAATACCCTACGTTCTTTTTACATTTTTCACTTTGTATTGTAAGAAAATAAATTATTTGTTAAATTTTACAATTACCTTGTTGGTTTTTGCTCTTTTCTTTTACTTAGTTTAAAACAATAGAGTTGTAATATGGATATCATTGACCATGCACACTACATATTTAGGTGATATTCATTTGTCTTGCAATTTCAGAAGAATAGCATGGGTTGTGTAAATATTATGATATCAACCGAGTGCTCAGGCTAGTTTGTATGTGTGTGCTAATAGTCTTGTTTTAATTGAATATAATATAATTTCACAGTTGCGTCAAAATGATAGAATTGGGTTTGGTTTGGTGTTTATACATTTTACTTGCATGGCAGATGGAGTAAAGCACCTTTCCCAAGGACACACCATGGTAGCCAACCTGGGTTGATACAATGTTGGGATTTAAACCTGGACCATTTTGGATGTTAGTCTCACATGCTAACCACTGATCAAATATTGAAATACATTTACTCCAGTTAATGCACTGCATAAAAGTATTGCACTTTGTGGTTTTATACCTAATTAAGTATGCTTTATTACTTTTAATATTTAAATGTATTTTTCCCCTCTCTTTCATTTGCAATAGTTTGTTCATTACTGCTTCAGGGGAGAAAAGTATATTATATTTAGTTACCCTAATCAACCATGGCTCCACACAGATGACAGAAATCTATGCAAAGCACATATGAATTATTTTATTTATTATTGAACTCTGTCTGCGATTGTGGAAATTCTCTTACATACAGATTGTTTAGGAATGTGCAAAACATCAGTTCCTGTTTAAATTTGACTCACAGTCTAATATTTTCCTTTATGATGAAGTACTAGAGATGTTGGTACCAGCCTTATTCCATAAGTACAACATGCAGACCAGGTATGATGTAAATTAGTTAAGAAAACATCTTCATATCTAAGACCCAACTACATGCAGTCATTAGACATATAGTCATTATAATTGGCTTGTTTTTTTCTATCAGCCAATCACAGACAATCTTGCTGTGTATTAGAACTAAAAGAGACATCAATATCATCAAT